GGAGAAGAAGGTTGCCCACTCTCGACCACCTTACACCATACACTGTAGGAGCAGAAGGTTGCTCTATTGTTTCCATCTCTCCCCTCGATCGGAGCAGAAGGTTGCTCGACCGAATTTCCTCCCAATATAACGTGGAGCAGAAGGCTGCTCACATTATATTCAGCAACCTCCTCGATTCAATTTCCTGGGACTGAACCATCGATGCCGAAACGAACACGAAGAGCAGGCCGAAAATACCAGCTGAGAAAACTCATCGCTCAATTCTCGGATCCTAGGATCGAACCAGTGAACCTAGACGCTCTCTTGGGAACCAAGTCCCAAGGAATATCCATACAGAACTCAGAGCCTGTACAGTTCCAAATCTCGAAAGATCCAGCGGGTCATTTCCGGCTAATCCAACGACCTCCCCTTGCCCAGCAGGACGAAAAAATCAACTCTCCATCAGAACCTACTCCACCAACCAGGGGATACTTTACGAGCGACCACTCTGTCCAGGTACAACAGCCGGATTTTAGGCCTCACTGCCCAGTACAACTCTCTGCAGCATCAAAGAAGTTCTTCGCAGGACTTAAGGAGAAATTGCATCTGCTTGCACGAACCTCAACAAACTAATGGTGAGTGAAAAAATCTAATCTATTAAAAACTCAATTGCGCGAAAAATAGGCAAATCCCTCGAACCTGTCGCGTTCGAAAAAGTGACACAACCATTTCACGTCAGTTTAACTCTAGACGTAACAGGCCTGCAGTGTGGCGGGGGGGTGTTAGGGGTGGAAGGGAGGTTGGTCTGGGGATATACCGTCCCATCAGGGGAGGGTGTTTGTGAGAGGGACGTGTAGGGCGTTGGTGCCCTAGGGGGGGACGGGGGGTGGTGATGGGTTTTGGGGGCGGGATCTGGGGTGCACGGGTGGGAGTCCCTGAGTTCAGGGTCAGGGAGCTAAGGGAGAAGGTTAGGAGGGCTGTGTTCGTGATTGTTGGGGGGGTCGTCTTGGGTTGGTCCTGGGTTTCGTCAGCGTCGCGGTCTGCGTCTGGAGGTGATGGGGAGGTGGTCGTCGGGGTCGTTCAGGGTGGGAGGGGGACCTTTGCGGGGTCGTCCTCCTCGTCGTCTGGGGAGGTCCTTGGGGCAGTGTGGTCTCCTGGGGCAGCTTCTCCGGGGGCTGCTTCTTCGGGGGCTGCTTCTTCTCCAGGGGTTGCTGTGATGATGGGAATGGGGGAGGTGGGGCATGTTGTATCCCCCATCGGTCCAGGATCGTCTCTTGTCTGGCGATCGCCAGCATCTCCTCCTGCTCCAGCCAGGCCCTGGGCGGTTGGCTCGGGGGAAAAGCTTCCTCTCCGAGGGGGAGCGAGTACTTCCCCCTCCCGTATGGGATCCTGCCACTGTTCGGCATCTGTAAGGGGTCGGGGGTAGTAGGGTCTTAGGTCAGTTATATGTATTTTCCATAGTCTATTTCCATGTGTGTCTTCTAAGTCATATATAATTGGGGATACCACATTTATAATTTGATAGGGCCCCTCGTACTTGGGGGCCAATTTCGCAGCAAAATGTTGCGCGGCTTGGGAAAGGGGTCGGTGCCTTCTCAGGACGAGGTCGCCTAACCGAAATGCTTCATCGTTTCTACCCCTATTATACCGTTCCGCCTGCTTAACGAATGCCTCGCCCATATATTTTCGCGCGAGGTCATAAAAATAATCCATCCGTTCTATTCTGGTTTTCCAGGGTCCCGGGGGAAGAGGGTCATGGGGTTCCTTGGGGTTGATTGCGGGGTTAACTAAGGGGCTGGGGGGTGGGGGGATACGACCCATATTTAAAAAGGCGGGGGAAACTCCTAGGGATGTGTGGACAGAGGTATTGAGTGCAAAAGCTAACTCGGGTAAATGTAAGTCCCAGTCGCGGTGGTTATCTCCAGCATAAATTCCGATCATGGGTTTAAGAGAACGGTTGATCCGTTCAACGGGGTTGGATTGGGGGTGATAGGGAGGGGTGGTGAGGTGGGTGATTCCCAATTGGGCTAGGGGCTTCGCGAGGTTTTTACCAACAAATTCTGTTCCATTGTCGCTGAGGAAAAACTGCGGTTTTCCCCAGCGCAATACTACTGTTTCATATAAGACCTTCCAAATATTCTTAGCATTCGCTTTTCGAAGGGGTTTAATTTCGACGTACCGAGTGAAAACGTCTTCTAACACTAGGAGGTAACGGTATTGATTTCTGCTAGTGGGGAAGGGGCCCATGATGTCGCCAGCGACGGTGGACCAGGGCTCGGAGGTCTTGCGTTCCCTCATTAGTCCTTTGGGGCCAGTCTGGATCGACTTGTAACGTTGGCACTGGGGGCAGGATCGGACGAACTTGGCTACGCCCCGATAAATTCCGGGCCAATAAAAATATAATGCTACCCGATGGTAGGTTTTATCTATCCCACCATGGGCAGCGTAGGGGCTGTCTTGTGCGTCCCGTATCGTTTCGTGTCTCAGTCCCGGGGGAAGAACGGTCTTCCATCTATTTAAATCGGGGACAGTGGGGTCAATCTGGGGGCAGGGGCGCAAGAAATAGAGGACGTCATCTTCGACGGTCCAATCCGGATATTTATGGGGGTCTTTCAACACGTCGATCTTCTTTTTCTGGTACCATTTATCTGGGGAGGAGTTCATTAACGCGAGGGCTGTAAGGGAATTGGGGCAAACGCGGGAGAGGGCATCAGGGACGGTATGGAGAGAACCTTTCCTGTGTACTACTGTCATGTCCTGGGTCTGTAATTCCAACGCCCACCGGGCCACTCGTCCGGTGGGGTTCTTAAAATTTAGTAACCATTTTAGACTGGAGTGGTCTGTTATCACGGTAAATCTACCGCCTTCGATATAGGGGCGAAACTTACGCGTGGCCCACAGAACCGCCAGACATTCTCGTTCCGTCGCAGTGTAGTTGCGTTCGGCTGGGGTTAAGACTCTACTGGCAAAATAAATAGGTCTGTCGAGTCCGGTTGAAGAATTGGGGTGGGCAGGGTCGGATCCAAACTCCGACTCCTGTGTCAACACCGCTCCAATCGCTACGTCACTTGCGTCAGTCTGAAGGGTAAAGGGTTTCGTGAAGTCAGGGCGAGCTAGAACAGGGGTGGTCGTGAGGGAGGTCTTAAGTTTTTCAAAAGCGTCCTGGTGTTCGTCTGTCCAGGTCCACGTCACGTTTTTCCTAATCAATCCAAGCAAGGGGACCTTATCATCGGAGAGAGAGGGTAGAAAGCGAGCGTACCACCCGACCATACCGAGAAATCTCTGCAATTCTTTAACGTTCCGAGGGGGTGGGTACTCGGTAATAGGGGCAACTTTATTAGGGTCTGCTTCTAATCCATCGGGGGTTAATAAGTATCCAAGAAATTCTAGTCGATCACACAAAAAATCGCATTTATCTACGTTAATTGTCAAATTATTCTCTTGTAATTTTTTAATTAACTGGGACACAAACCACTTATGCTCTTCTAGGGTGCGGGTAAAAATCAAAAAATCATCGGCATATTTACGTACGTTATTGGACCATTGGGTGGGGATTATCATATCTGTGAGGAGTTGAAACATTGCGGGACCATTTTTCAAACCAAAGGGCATCCTTTTATATTGGAAAAGTCCGGGGGGTAGTCCTGGGATGGCGAAGGCAATCTTTTCTTTGCTTTCCTCGTCTAGGGGAATGTGGTGGAAAGCCTGGCTAACGTCTATCTTTGAGACGTAGACAGCTCCGTGGACACAATCAAGGAGGTCCTCTAAGCTCTGCATGGGGAGGGCGAGATGTTTGGTAACGGCGTTAAGGGGACGATAATCAATACAAAGTCTATAACTATTGTCGGGTTTTTTCACTAAGACGGGCCAGCTACACCAATCGCTCTGGGAGGGCTCGATAATTTCTTGTTTTAATAATTGGGATGCTTTCCCTTGGGCGGCTTTTAATATGTGGGGGGCATAGCGACGGGTAGCACCACGAATAGGGGAATGATCCTGGGTGTCAATGTGCATTGTAAGTAAGGGGCACCCGGAGGCAACTTCGGGGGCGGGGTTGATGCAACTTTTAAATTCATTGCGGAGGGCCATTAACTCATCTTCGGGGACTACGGCTAAGTCACACGGGGGAGGGTTGGTTAAATTCAGGGGGGGGGGGGGGGGGGGGGCAAGATCGTCGGAGGAGGACCATACTTTAACGGGTTGGGCTTCACTTTCAATCGCTGGGGGGCTGGGTTCGGTCGGTCACCGAAATCCAATGCGATCTCTAATGATTCTAGTGCATCAACTCCGAGGATGCAGTCAAAAGCTAAGGCGTTGCTGAGGCCGAACGGCACTAACCTACGCTGATCCTTATAGGCGAGTCTCATGATTGCGCATCCGGCGAGTGGGATTGCTTCTCCGTTTCCGACGGTGACGGACTCGCCCGTCGCAATCGCGTATTCATTGAGGTTGATTCCCGTCTGCGTACTGATGAATGACCGGTTAGCTCCCGAGTCAATCAAGGTACGGAGGATATGTTTGCCGATCTTCAATTGTGCGAAATACCGATTTTCCTGAGGGTTATCATACGTGAGGGTCAAAAAATCTTCGTACGTAATAAAATCGGGATTCTCGCGGTCGTTAAGGGTGATGGTGAATAGCCGGGGGTCATCTCCAGGTGGTGGGTTAGTCCCGGGGGCAGAAGGAGCACGAGCTTCAGGGATTGAGTGGGGTTGTTCGGAAGGGCTTGGGGTAGTTGGAAGGGCTTCGGACTGGGGTAGTGAAGGGGTCGTGGTATCAGGTGAGGGGGAAGTGGGGTTTAATATCGTAGGGATAGAACGGATTTCAGTGAGAGGTTTGTTCGGGGTAAGGGTAGGCTCAGGGGTGGGGGCGGATTGTTCCGTTAACTGGGGAGGGGATGAATAGGTGGTTGGTTCGGGGTTGTGAGTTACCTGGAGTTCGGGAGAGTTTGGTGGGTCTGGCTGGGTAGAAATCTTTGTAATTTTCCGGGATCGGTGTATTAGAAATCGTGGATCACGCGGGGGTGGTACTGGGTTGACCCCCCCGCTTCTTAGTTTCCCTGGGCATTATATGATCCGTATGAGGGTCGGGGCTAGTAATTCCTGGAGCGGGGGTTTGGGTCATATCTGGGGAGTTGAGTTGACTGAGGGAGATAGGGGGGTCGTTGTGTGGGGAAGGCTTGTTGGGAATAGGGGTTGAGGGGACATTCCCTGGCGAAATGTCCAGGTTGGTGACATCTGAAACAGGTGAGATGTTCTGGATAAGGAGGTGGCTTTGAATTTACTGGAGGTGGGGTGACAGAGATGCTCATTAATGGGGGAATGTTGTTCTGGGGTGGAGTGGTGGGCCTGGGAGAAGATCGTCCGGTTGCTTCAGCGTACGTCTGGGGTCTGGGGGGGGGAGTTGAATCGAGCATGTTGAGATGGGAATCTTGAGGGTGGGTTTTGTCTGGTATCGTATGTGTCGTCCGGTGGGGGTAGGTAAGGGTTCCCGGAGTATTGCTCCGGTGGGACTCCGTCAGCTCGAAGGGGTTGTGCTCCGAGGGCCTGATTTTGTGGAGCTGTGGTGTCACTAGTACCGCGAACTCGGGGGTTATTGCGTCGAGGGGCTGGAGAGGGGGATTGGATCGCGGAGGGGTGCCTGTATCGCGATGTGTCCGAGAGGGTTCGTTGGACTAGTCGCGCTACTTCAATGAACTGCTCGATGGTTGTGCATCTATCCCGGCCCATTTCTTTGAAATACACGGGGTTCAATTGCGACTTCAAGATACCCAGTTGTCTTTGGAGGGAAGGAGGGGGATGAAGACTGGCAAATAGTCTTCGTAGGCTAGTGATATACTTGCCTACGTCCTCATCGACCCCCTGGAAACGTTGGTGAATATTCTGCCATATGCTCTCCTCTTGATCAAGAGGACAGTACATGAGCTGAAATGCCTTCAGGAAGCCGCTGTAACTCCTGATATTTGGCAATTTTGTCAAATACCAGGAGTGAGCGTCCTCCCTAAAAGTTGAGGGGAGAGCCCGAAGGGTCTCCGTCTCAGTGAGTCCATTGGACTGATAGCACAAAGTGATGCTATCTAAAAATTTGTACGGGTCTTCGTCTAAATTTCCCGAAAAGCTAATCCCATCCCTTTTAAAAATGTGACTAACTCTAAGATCTCGGGTTTGGAAATCATACTGGGTTTCTTCTCGAAAGAGGACTCTATAGGTATCCTGAAGACGAGTTTGGGGAAATCCGGTGGGGTGAGCAGGGTCCATAGTGACGTGTGTTGGGGGTGGTGGGGGTGGATTTTCGGGGTAATGGGTCTGTGAAAAAACAGGCTGGGGTGTTCTGGGGGTTGGTTCTGAGCGTGGGGGAAGGGTATGGGATGGTTGATATCTGGGACGGGGGGGGGGGATATGAGAAG